TTCTGTTAAGAATTGCAATGTCTCACACTGCCTCTTTATTCCTTCCTTGCTTAATGTTTCCTATAGAAGTTCATCACCATCTGATAGAATATATGATTAACTAATTATTTAATCACTTTTTGAGGGAAAAGTTCTTGATATAATTTGTTCAATTATTTACCTTTGGTTTCTAGAACAGTGTCTTGACATATGATATGCTTCTTGACCATCTGTTGAATGAATTATGAGTGTGTGTCAATAGGGAATTTCCGCAGCTCTGTCCCGTGGAAAATCCCCTGCACAGGAAGGGATGGCTGCAGCATACAGGAACACCAAGTGTAGAGAGTCACCTATCCACACCACCCTCCATGTGTTATGGTTGTTTTCAAAGTCTAAAAATTGCTGGCCGGGTATGGTGGCTCACGCCTGTAATCCCAGCACTTTGGAAGGCTGAGAAAGGTGGATCGTTTGAGGTCAGAAGTTCGAGAGCAGCCTGGTCAACAAGGCAAAATCCCCATCTCTACTAAAAATACAAAAATTAGCTGGGTGTGGTGGCGTGTGCCTGTAGCCCTAGCCTTCGGGAGGCTGAGGTATGAGAATTGCTTGAACCTGGGAGGCGGAGGTTGTAGTGAGCCAAGATTGTGCCACTGCAGGCTAGCCTGTGTGACAGAGAGATAACTGATCTTAAAAAAAAAAAAAAAATATTGCCGCAGCCTGAGGACCTTATCAGGGGGAAAAACAACAACAACAACAACAACAACAGCAACAACAACAAACCAGGTTCACTCTCAGAGAAGAGGCTCCTACTCTTGAGTTTTGGGACTCTTTGATTCTCCTTTTGTGAGAAGCGGAGAGGTCTCAGCTCAGCTGCAGACTCCTGGTCCTCAGGGCCCAGGACCATTCCACCCACACTGCTGCCCCATCCCCGCTCTGGGTTCCATCTGTGTGCTGAGGATCCCCATGCACCCAACGAGTCTCAGAGGGCAGAGAACTAACCTGGAATAAAAATGACACTTTCTTTCTTCTGACCGAGCAGGGTGTCACTGATAGAGCAGGACATGTTCCTCACCGACTTATCTCTGATGATCACAGCTGTGGTGACCATGAAGAGGCCATCTGTGTCAGGGATGAAGACCTCCTTCAGGGCAGGCACAATCCCACCGTAGGGGTCCCTCCACACTGTGAGGGGCTTTGGGTACCACCCTCTAGATATGCACTGCAGCCGGATGCCCCCGTCCTCGTGGCCCCTCATTTCAACGAGGGGCTTAGAGCCCAGTCCTGTGGAGAGATACCAGAGTTCAGACAAGAATCAGTGCCTTTTGCATCTCTTCTGTGCCTATTGTGTCTCTTCTGTGAAACTAGAAAGTAAAGGTGAAAAAGAGGGAGGTAGGAAGCAAGAAATAGGAAGGAGGAAAAAAAGGAGGAGGGTAAGGAAGAAAGAACGTTGATGTTAGAGAACACCAGGAGACCAATGGGCCACATAAACTATGAGTTCTCTAAGAGCAAACGATCCCATTGTGCCCTTTTCTTTGTGGTCCATGTACAGACCCCATCACAGCACCAAACATCTATCTGTCTGCTATAAATGCTTATTCAATTTATCCTGCCAGACTAATTTTCTCACTTCAAGATGGGTGTGTCGACTCCAACTTCAAACAGGCAGGTTTTGGATTTCACTTTCTGCTTCTGGGACGACTTCTCAGTAGACCTCAGCTTCCAGAAGCTCTAGAGTAATAATGACAAGGACGAAAGTCTGCCAGGCGGGCAGAATCCTAAGAAACCTTTTGATCCAAAGACGCTGACCCTTCTGTCTAGTTCAGAACTTCACATAACCACCGCTCTCTACCACCCATAGTAGGTGATGGTTTTTGGGAAACTTGACAGATCTAGCCCGCAAAGCCAACTCTAATCCTAATTCACACTATTTACCTCCCAGAGGCTCCATCCATTAGGCAGTATTGCTTTTGTTTTTTAGAGACAGGGTTTGAGCTCTATTGTCCAGCTTGGAGCACAATGGCAAAATCATAGCACGCTGTGCCTTGTACTCCTGGGCTCAAGAGATCCTCCCACTTCAGTCTCCCAACTAGCTAGGATTACAGGCATGTTCCACCATTCTTGGCTAACATGTTGCCCAGGCTGGGTGGTTTTCTTATAGTACTTTGAGAACATCAACTTATTAGAAAGATCCGGATAATCCAGGGACTAAGATAACCATACTACCTTTCCAATATCAGAGATCATCACCAAAAATTCTAAGAAACTAGACTCACCCTAACTACAATCCATCTTTAAATGAATCTTCCATAAGAGTGAACACTGGGTATGAAAGAGCTGCAAAAGTGTAGTCCTGGGAGACCTTTCAGCCATGTGGGACCACCTAAACTTCTCTGAGTTATTCCTTTATAAAGTCTCCCAAAGAATTTTACCAAAGACAGGAAATTAAACCAAAAACTTAAGTCTGGTGTGTTGGCTCAATTTAATAATAAAAAAAAATTTTTTTGACACGGTCTCACTGTATCACCTGAGCTGGATTGCAGAGGCATGATCATAGCTTACTGCATCCTGGACTTCTGAGGCTCAGGTGATCCTCCAACCTCAGCCTCCCAAGTAGTTGAGACTACAGGCATGTGCCACCATGCCCAGCTATTTTTTTTTTTTTTTTTGAGACTGGATTTCACCATGTTGCCCAGGCTTACTGTAATTTTTTTTTTTTTTTTAAAGACAAAATCTTGCTCTGTAGCACAGGTTAGAGTGAAATAAATGGTAGGATCTCGGCTGACTGCAACCTAGGCCACCTGAGTTCCAGTGATTCTCTGGCTCAGCCTCCCAAGTAGCTGGGACTATAGGCATGTGCCAGCATGCTTGTATAATTTTTGCAGTTGTAGTTGAGAAGGGGTTTCACCATGTTGGTCAGGCTAATCTCGAGCTCCTGACCTCAGGTGAGCCACCCACCTTGGCCTCCCAAAGTGCTAGGGTTATAGGCATGAATTACCGCACCGAGCCCAGGGTCACTTTAATTTTTATCAAGAGAAAAAACTACTTGTACATTTAAAGGCTCAGTAGAATAAGAATTAAAATAACTCAGCAAATTGGAAAACAAAGTTCTTCAAAACATTCCATGAGTTCCAATACAGGCAAGCATGACAAAATAGATTTAAGGGCAAAATCAGCCACCAACAAACCTAACAAAGAGAATACAGTAAACAAAAAGTCCTACGCAACCCAATTCAGAGTGGGGAAGGCCAGGCCAGTGTCAGTTTTACAGGCAAAGAATGGCAGATTCCTGCCGCACAGAAACCATAACTAGTCAAACCTAGAGCGCTGCTATGAACACATTGAGGATGCAGTGTCAAGAAACCCTCCTTCCATGATATTGTGTTTTAATCAGATGCAAGGTTGCCTTTGTGTGTAGCAAAGATGGGGTCTCTTACCTGTTATGATTTGAGACCCCCAGGGAAGGACCCAATTCCCTAGTCTGCACATCCTCTGGTCTGATGGAGTGAAATGCCACCACAGATTATCCTGCACCCGAAAGGCTTTTTCAGTCCTCAAACATATCTGTTTGTTGTTGTTGTTTAATTTTTGATACAGAGTCTTGCTCTGTTGCCCAGGCTGGAGTGATGTGGTAAGATCTTGGCTCCCTGCAACCTCTGCCTCCTGGGTTCAAGCAATTCTCATGCCTTAGGCTGCCAAGAAGTTGAGATTACAGGCACACTCCACAAAGCCTGGCTAATGTTTTTGTATTTTTAGTAGAGATGGGGTTGCACCATGTTGGCCAGGCTGGTCTCGAGCTCCTGGCCTCAAGAAATCCACCTGCCTCTGCCTCCCAAAGTGCTCGTATTACAGGTGTGAACCACTGCGCCTGGCCCAGATATACCTTTTAAAGCATAATACACTAACCCCAAAACTGAAGTAATCACTTAATGTCATTTTAACAAACTCCTAGAAATCCCAGTTTAAATGCATTTTTATGTTGAAGGCTTCCCTATTACCTCCCAGTGAACTTTGTAGTCTTTCTCTATGGAGTTAGCAGGAACTATGTATAGTTTTGCTTCTGTATTTCGTCTTGCTTTAATGAAACCATCTATTTACAATAAGTCACTCTCTCTGCAATCAGCATTTTGGGAAAGAAGAAGTCAGGGTTAATATTTATCAGGAAGTAAGATTTGATATGTCGCCGTTCTCTGGGCAATCGTTTATTCCAGTTGTCTTGGAACAATTATTGACAGTGTCTCCTCTCACTCTCAGAAGTGCAACCTGGGAGGCAGAGGTTGCGGTGAGATGAGATTGTGCCAGCGAGGGTGCAACAGAGCAAGACTCTGTCTCAAAAAGAAAAAAAAAAAAGAAGTGCACAGTTCAATGCTAAGGCATGCATAAGACTTTTCTTCTGAGAGTGACCATTTTCCCCTGCTCACGGCCTCAGCTGAATTCTGCATGTGCTTCTCAAGAAGTGAAGCACTTGGTTTAGCAGGGCAAACCCACTCGTGTGGCCCTCGTGCAGGAGAAAGGATTTTTCCCTGGAATTCCGTTTCCACAGGGAGAGTGTCCCTGTGGAGTCTCTCTGTGGAAATGGGATTCCAGAGAAAAATTTGCTGGTCTGCAATGGGCATGAGGTTGGGAGAGAAACCTTCCCCAGAGTCACACTGTGCCAAAGTAACAAAGCAAAATGAAGCAACGCACCTGCCACCATGAGGTGCAGGATGGCCTCATCGTAGGACCTGCCTTCTTGGAAGTAACAGCGGTAGGTGCCGTTCTCCTGAGCTGTGACGTTGTGTATGATCAGGGCCACGATGCCCCTGCTGATGTCTTTGCTCACAAAGGTGGTTCTTCTTCGGTACTCCTCCATCTGCTCCTCTGTTCTCTCTCTCCCACCCTTATACACAAACACTGCGGGGGAGAACTGAGACCGGAACCACCGCACCTCCATGTCCTCAGCATTTTTCTCGGGTGACAGATGGCAGCGTAACATAGTGTTTTCTCCCACCATGGCCAGGATGGGATCAGTGGGCCCCACGACAGTAAACTGGGCTGTTCAACAAAGGGGTAGAGTCAGACAAAGACATCAGCCATCACATTTCTAAGGCAGAAAGGGAAGCAGATATTCCAGGGATAAACATATTCTTTCCATGGCCATAGGGTCTCTTTGGGCTGAGAAATCTGGGGACCAGTAGTTGTGGGTGTCAACAGCACCCCTGGGAGCAGTAACTATAAAATGTGCTTCTGCTTCATGAAGGAAACCCTGGGGAGCCCGCCCTGAGCACCCTCTGTCCACCCTCTGCCCTTGAGGGGTTTTTCCTCCATTCCCCAATCCTGCGCTGTGCCTGAATGTAGTGTAAACTTGAGCCATGCAATAGAGCACCTACCTACTAGCTAGTTCCAGTTGAAATTAGTTGTAAGTGTAAAATACACACAGGATTATTAAGACTTAAAATTTCAAAATATTGACTATCTCATTGGTAATATGGCATATTAACTAAGTATTTAAATATTCATTTTTGATTATTTGGGGCAAAACAAAATATAGTATACAAACTTATTTCATATTTCTTTTCACTTTTTAAAATAAAAAGTAAAACTTAATTTTTTTAAAAAACATGCAATTGTACATGCAATTGTACAATTGGCTTCTGTGCCTCACTGTATTTCTTTTGGACAGTGCTGGTGTAAATTCAGTGAACATGTTCAAAATTAAAGGATAAGTCAACAACTCCATAGTCCTTCTTTCTTTTTTTCCCTTTGCAGACTACATAGTTGATGTTCCTTTCTGATAGGTAACAGCAGCAAGTGGGACACATCGCTACCTGAGACCAGTGCACACAGTCGGAGAAGAAGGAGGAGGAGGATGAGGGAGGCTGGCAGGGAGAAGTGCAGGGCAGCAGCTGGTTCCATGAGCACCCAGGGCAGGCAGGGACGGGAAGCCTAGGGTTACAGAGCAGAATCAGCCTAGGAGTCTTGGCACCTCAGTGCTGGTCGGGCTCAACCTCTCCCGTTACTCAAGTAGGTCTCATCAGTGCCCCAACGTCATGGAGTCCCCTGCATCCGAGGGCTGAGGTATCTCCTGAGAGAGGGATTCCTTAAACATTCCATGAAGTAAGCCATCAATGCCAAGATCAAGGGGGCGTTTTTCTGCCCTCCTCGGCTGACTTCTCTGGCCAGAATCTGGTTTCTTCAGTTGTCGCTGGATTCTATCACACCTTCCTCCCTTCTCTTCCTCCTCCCCAAGACCCAGGCTGGGTCACCCGAGGCTAAGCCAGGCCAGGCCGCACCTACCCACCAGTGGGCTTCCCCTCTCCCAGAACCCCATCTCATGTCCACAGGAGATCCTGCTTCCCCCACCTCCTGTGCCCACCCTGGAGCCTCCCCTCCCTTTCCTACCTTCGAGAATTGACGTTGCATTTTCTTTTCTCCTCTGGTTCTCAAATTAAGGGAGGAGACCACCCCTCATGTTGTATTATGCCCGATTTCTGCCTGCAAAGAAAGAGCAAGTAAAAATTAAAGGCAGAAATGCAATCCATAGGCAGACAGCTCAGTGCTGCACCCTGGGCCTGGTAGTTAAAGATTAACCCCTGACCTAACCCGTTATGTTATCTATAGATTCCAGGGGTTGTATGGAAAAGCATTGTAAAAATTCCTGTCCTGTTCTGTTCCGTTCTGATTACCGGTTCTGTTCCGTTCTGATTACCATTTTTGAAAAAAAAGAGAGGATGTTTGCAACAAGTGAAAAAAGTTAAGGCATGTCAAAGAATTATCTGTGAAAGTCGTAAGAAAATGGTTATAAAAAGAAATTCATGCAAGAAATGTTGTATAATTTAAAAGTAAGTAGGCATCCTAAATGTAAAACTATTAAATAAACAGTTTATGTACAAGGTATATAAGAAAAGTAAAATATACTTTTGGTAGAATAATTATAAGGAGGCATAAGAATGTAAAGTTGTACCTACATTAAAAGGTTAAAAATATGTATATTTTGTTTTAAAGGTTTAATCAAGTTTTAAAATGTTAATTGGAAACAAAAATTCTCTGTGTAAACACTGACTAAAGTTAAAGAGGTATCATCCAGTTTTTCTGTAAACTGGACATTAAAATAAAAACATAACAGGTTTTTCTTAAAGTACCAACCTGCTCTTTAGCAAAAATTATAAAAGGTTAAAAAGAGTCTATAAAATCTTATCTTATGATCAAACATTAAAAATTGGATAAATATGTCTACAAGGTTTTATTAAAATTGGGTTTAACATTAATAACACCCTAATATAAAGGTAAAATTTAGCTTATCTGATATAAAAATCATACAGGAAGCATTGTTAAATGTAAAATAGTATTTGACTTTCTTTGGTTTAAAAACTAATAAAAATAGGTGTTAAAGAAAATTTCTCAGTAAAAAGGTACTGAGGACAATAAAGTCCACTGCCAAAGTCCCCACATTGAAAACAAAAGGTCAATTTCTTAAAAATTATATACTTGGTTTAGTCTTTTAGCACATGTACCACCCCTAGAATTTCCGGTAAATCAGCACCAGCCTGAAGATCATGTTCTCATCAAAGGGTGGAAAGAAGAAAAACCCCAGCCAGCCTGGGAAGGACCCTACCTTGTGCTGCTAACTACCAAGACTGCTGTTCATACAGCAAAAAAGGATGGACTTATCACACCGCAGTCAAGAAAGTGCCACCCCCTCCAGAGTCGTGGGCCACAGTCCCAGGGGAAAACCCTACCAAACTAAAGCTAAGAAAAATTTAACTCTTTTCATCTATTCTGTTACTCTTTCTTCTTTCCTCATTCTATTACTGACCATCTAGTTATTAACATAACCAAGTCAATTTCGCCTCAAACTACTGCATTTAATGCTTGCCTTGTTATACCCTGTGGAGACTTGCCAAGTCAAAGACAGCTTTCTATTTCAGAAAAGTACTTCTGTCCTTCCTGACTCTCCTCAGACTGGGCAATAGTAAAGTATTTGAGACTCCATCTCAAAAAAAAAGGATCAAATATTCCATCTGCACGTTAAACATAAGCAATTGTTATGCTTCTGCACATGGCAGGCCAGAGGCCCAGATTCACCCCTTCCACTAAGGTGGTCCTCCAGTCAACCAGGCATAGGTTGTATGGTAGTTCTTTTCCAGGAATCTACAGCCTGGAGTAGTAAGTCATGCCAAGCTCTCACTTCTATATCCCGAAGTCCGGCACCCTGTGGGTCAGCCCCTGAGGGCCATCCAGCTTCCATCTCCCAACACTAAGTTCACTTCGTGTCTCTCACGAGAAGGAGGAAACTTAGCATTCCCTGGAGACCTGAAGGGATGCAATGAGCTTAAGAATTTTCAAGAGCTTATCAATCAGTCAGCCCTTTCTCATCCCCGAGTGGATGTGTGGTGGTATCGTGGTGGACCTTTACTGGGCACTCGGCCGAATAACTGGAGTGGCACTTGTGCTTTAGTCCTTTTGGCTATCCCTTTCACCCTGGCATTTCATCAACCAGAGGGAGGAAAAATAAGACATCGTAAAGCAAGAGAAGTCCCTTATGGGTCTTTTGACTCTCACATCTATTTAGATGCAATTGGAACCCCGCAAGGAATATCAGATCATTTTGAAGCTTGAAATAAAATAGCTACAGGATTTAAGTCAATATTTTAGTAGATGACAGTTAATAAAAATGTAGGTTGGATAAACTACATCTATTACAACCAACAGCAATGAGTTTTTCATGAGTTAAAAGAAAAACTCAGATCGGCCCCAGCCCTGGGGCTACCTGACCTGACAAAACATTTTACACTCTATGTGTCAGAAAGAGAAAAAATGACAGTTGGAGTTTTAACTCAGACTGTGGGGCCCTGGCCAAGGCCAGTGGCTTATCTCTCAAAACAACTAGACAGGGTTTCCAAGGGCTGGCCCCCATATCTAAGGGCCCTGGCAGCAATGGCCCTGTTAGCACAAGAAGCAGATAAGGTAACTCTTAGGCAAAACCTAAACATAAAGTCCCCCCATGCTGTGATGACTTTAATAAATACCAAAGGACATCATTAGCTAATGAATGCTAGACTAACTAGATACCAAAGCTTGCTCTGTGAAAATCCCCACATAACCATTGAAGTTTGCAACACCCTAAACTCTGCCACCTTGCTCCCGGTATCAGAGAGCCTAGTTAACATAACTATGTAGAGGTATTGGACTCAGTTTATTCTAGTGGGCCCTACCTCCAAGACCATCCTTAAACATCAGTAGACTGGGAGCCATACATGGATGGGAGCAGCTTCGCCAACCCCTGCAAAGCGACTCTGAAAAAGACAACAAGCCCTGCTCCAGTCACACCCAGAAGCTGACTGGTCTACGCAAGGCCGAAGCATGAGGAAACTCATTGCGGGATTCATTTTTCTTAAAATTTGTACTTGTACAGTAAGGACTTCAACTGATCTTCCTCAGACTGAGGACTGTTCCCAGTATATGCATCAAGTCACCGAGGTAGGACAAAAGATTGCTACAGTCCTATTATTTTATGGTTATTATAAGCGTACTGGGACTCTAAAAGAAACTTGTTTGTATAATGCTATTCTATCCAAGTTATGTAGTCCAGGAAATAACCAACCTGATGTGTGTTATGACCCATTTTAAGCCTCCCATGATCACAGTTTTTAAAATAAAATTAAAGACTAGTCCTTTTCTAGGTGATAAAAGTAAAGTAATAGCTAGGAGAGAAGAAAGAGGAGTCCCCAAGCATATAACCCTAAAATTTAATGCTTGTGCCACTATCAATAGCAATCAGCATGGAATAGGAGGCGGTTCTTTAAATTGAGAAACAAAAAGTTATACGGCAGGAAATAAGTATATCTGCCATGAATTAGGCTTATGTGCAAATGTGTGTAATTACTGTCTTGTGTCTCCTAGACTACTTAGAAAAAGGATGAAAAATATCCTGTTTAGCTCCAAAAAGGAGAAGGCAGCCCCTCCTGTACAAGTGGAAGCTGCAACCCCTTGAAATTAGTAATTACAAATCCCTTAAACCCAAGGTGGAAAAAAGGAGAACATGTATCTCTGGGCATCGATGGAAAAGGACTAGATCCTAGAGTAAATATCTTAGTAAAAGGGGAGGTTCATAAACTCTCTCCAGAACCAGTATTTTGGACTTTCTATGATGAACTAAATGTGCCAGTACCAGAGACTCCAGGAAAAACCAGAAATTTGTTTTTGCAATTAGCCGAGCATGTAACCCAGTCTCTAAATGTCACTTCATGTTATGTTTGTGGATGAACTTAAATGGGAAATCAATGGCCATAGAAAGCCCGAGAATTAGTGTCTACAGACCCAGTTCCTGATGAATTCCCAGCCCAAAAGAATCACCCTGATCATTTCTTGGTTCTAAAAGTCTCAATTATTGGACAGTATTGCATAGCTAGAAAAGGGAAAGAATTCATTCATCCTGTAGGACGACTTAGTTGCCTGGGACAAAAACTGTATAACGGTACCACAAAAACAGTTACCTGGTGGAGTTCAAACCACATAGAGAAAAATCCATTCAGTAAATGTCCAAAGTTGCAGACCGTTAAGGCCCACCCAGAATCCCACCGGGACTAGACGGCCCCCACTGGGCTATACTGGATATGTGGACATAGAGCCTACACTAAGCTGCCTGATCAGTGGACAGGTAGTTGTGTTATTGGCACTATTAAACCATCTTTCTTCCTACTGCCCATAAAAACAGGTGAACTCTTGGGCTTCCCTGTCTATGCTTCCCATGACAAGCGAAACATAGCCATAGGTAATTGAAAAGATGATGCATGGCCTCCTGAAAAAAATTATACAATACTCTGGACGAGATGGCTCATGGGGATACCAGCACCCCATTTACGTGCTCAACTGAATCATGTAAATGGGGGTCTGTTGCAAGCTGTCTTGGAGATCATCACTAATAAAACTGGTAAAGCCTTGACTGTTCTGGCCCGGCAAGAAACTCAGATGAGAAATGCTATCTATCAAAATAGATTAACTCTCAACTACTTGCTAGCAGCTGAAGGAGAAGTCTGTGGAAAATTTAATCTTAACAATTGCTGCCTGCATGTAGATGATCACGGGCAAGTAGTCAAAGATATAGTAAAGACATGATGAAACTGGCACATGTACCTGTACAAGCATGGCACAGATTTGACCCTGAGGCTATGTTTGAAAATGGTTCCCGATTGACGGTTCAAAGATGGCCAAATAGGAACAGCTCCAGTCTACAGCTCTCAGCATGAACGACACAGAACATGAGTGATTTCTGCATTTCCAACTGAGGTACCGGGTTCATCTCACTGGGGCTTGTCGGACAGTGGGTGCAGGACAGTGGGTGCAGCCCACCGAGCATGAGCCAAAGCAGGGCAAGGCATCACCTCACCCGGGAAGCACAAGGGGTCAGGGAATTCCCTTTCCTAGCCAAGGGAAGCT